GTTTACTTATTATTGCTTTGTTAGCGGAGCGTTGTTTGACATATCTTTTATAGTTAAAAAAATTAATGCCGCAGTTTCGTTGACTGGAATGGCACGACGAATCTAATGAGATGACAAATAAACATTTTTTTATAGGTTTTTGATTGAAATTACACGGAGGTAAGCAGAGCTTTTTTTTTTGTAAATTCTTTTGTTTCTATTAAGAAAATTTTGTTACGTATTTATTACAATATTATTATGTAAAGCAACGAAGTGTGAGACTTTATCTATATTCCTTCAGTGACCATTTTCAATTTACGTGTAAAATAAAGTTACAATGGTACGTCCAACCAAAGATGATGAAGATTATATCTGAGCCGAAGGCTGAAGTTTTATACATATTTACAAAATGAAGCTTATATACAAAACAAAATAGATACAGAAAAATATGTAATTGGTAAATAATTTTGATATAATAATAATTATTAACGTTAGTATATACCATTATAATATCTTCATTCATTCATACCACATCTACATGCTAATGCAGGTTTTGCTGTGTCGGCAGAGCTAAGTAGGTAGACTGCAGCTAAAACAATGTAGTACAAATAGCCTCAGGTCAAGTTACCCAAAACTGTCAATGTCTTACAACCGACTTTGAGCTTTATATTGCTTCTCATAATATTTGCAATCTGTTTAGCAGTGTCATCGCATAGCATCAGTTTTTGGTAACTTGATGTATGATTGTATTTAAAAGTTACTGATTCTTAGATCTATAGTACTGTTTAGAATCTATTGTGACATATAGCAACCTTTAAAAGTTTTGAATTGGATTCATGAACTGTTTTAGTTTGAGTAATTGTAAATTAGCACGTAAAAATGTGGCAGATCATGTTGGATTTCAGTTTATCAGACATAAATGTAAAATAGCATCAAATGCGGAATAAATCATTCGTTAAATGGGTGCCAGTAGTTTTTATGTAAACGCATAAAGTTTTAATTATTATATTTTCTATTTTTTTATTTAATCAAGAGATTTCATTGTTGTATTAATATAAATATAAACTAAAGCATAAATTGAAGCGTATTAATATTATAAGACAATATTTGGTTTTATTAATTTCTCTTTTAGTTTAACTTCTTGTAAGTTTTGTAGGATAAATAAGAAATTATGAACTACCAAATAAAAAAATCGTGATCCTATTTTATACACCATATCTAATTTCCTGGTACAGGAATTCGCCTCGGGCGTCACGATGCACCAAATAAATATTGGTCTTGAATTGTAGCGATGAATCGATCTCGTTCTTATGTGGATGATTCCGAAATTTTATCTCTCTCTCCCTAATAGCCGGCTGACAAACATGTATCAGCGGTTAATAGGTGCGCTCTCGCAGCTGTTGCGAACAAATCAGCTCGAATATAGCTGACACTGTCAAAAAGCTAACGATCCGGGGCGCACGACACGAGTGACGAGCGATAATAGCTGACCGAGCCGTAATGTCAACTTGTTCATTTTACACCAAATTCTTGCATTATATATAAAAATATGAACCCTATAGTTACTGTTATAACCAAAGAATTTGTTTGTTTAAATACCTAAATGCAATTGTACCTGCACGAAAATAATAACATTTTAGTAATGTTCTCAAAATAGCTTTTTATCAAGCCCTGAAAGTCCGATAATATAATTTATGTCAGCTCATTGCTTTTTTCATACAAAGACCATTAAGTGTATAAAATAATACCTTGTAAAGCGACAAAAATACCATATTCATATCCTGCGTTAAAGATCAGTCAGAATATATTTCGTTAACAATAAATCTTAACAGTGGAACAAATTATTTGATTTCGGACAACCGACACCAATTGAGTCCATGGGCTAAACAGGGCTTGTACTATGGAAACTAATATAATAAACAACCATGACTTGTTAATTTACTGTATTCCAAATTCAGGACGTATAAAATAAGCAGGTTTAAGGAGTAAATAGAAATAATAATAATGGCGGTGCGAAGGCCATACCATTGCTGTTGTACCGGTCAGTTGTCCAGTTAAGACTTCCAAACAAAGGTGTGATTTGTGCGTTACATGCACTTAACGCTTGTCCTTATGCCTTGTATCGCGCCTGTCTTACAGTCCAACATTACGAGGAGGGTCGCCCGTTCATTCAAGATCGGGGAAAGCGTCCTACGTATGTAAAAATAGATATTGTTGAATATTTATTAGCCATCTCTTCGAGATTCGATTTAATATTAACATTAGAAAAATATAGTCCGCACGTGTTTATTCGATTGATGCTAATTTCCTCAGGGACATCGGGGATTTTATTAAATGTTGCTGTGATACTAATAAGAGAATTGCGTTGACCTTTAAATGTCTGCGCCCAATGAGTAATTTGTATTGAGTGTTGCTGATATTGTATTAATACCAAATGGTGTCAGTCTCTATGTCTATGTTGGTCCGGAGAACCCAAATATACAAAACATAATATACACCAAAACATAATTTCCAATGTTAAATGCGATATTGTTCAGTTAGATCATACTAGCGCCCCATCCAGTCCCCCTAGTTTGAAGACCACATTAAACATTATATCACGTTTTTGATCGCGTCTAACTGTCAAACTCCATAGGAATTTGACAATTGAGCAATTTGAGCATGATAAAACCGAGCTATACACCGCGAATTGCGAGTTACCTAAGAAACTTAACTATCGTGTAAATAAAAATACTGCGAACAGTTATAAACAGTAAATTTACTACACCCCCATACAAAAATATTGTCTTCTTATCGTCTGTACCACAGCGAGTGTTCTGAAGAGTTATTCTATCTTATTCCACCTTCCCCTTTCCTTCAGAGGACAACGCGCGCTGGCCTACTTTGCTACCGAATAACGGTGACCACTATTCCAACACGTACAAAGAAGTTTGGTGACTCATTTCTTTGTCGCACTATCCATAAATGAAATGCTCTGCCCGCTCACGTGTTCCGTCCCTCTTACAACCTGGGATCCTTTAAAAGAGGCGTGAAGTAGCATCATGCAGGCTGGCAGGGTGAGGATGGCTGGTGTGGCAGGGAGAACTGCTGTATCAGCTATCTTCGCGTCTGCACTTCACCGTCACTTAACATCAGGTGGGGCGCCATTTGTCGGACCTTTCTTTAAAAATAAATGATTTATATCGTTACAAAATGTCTTAAAACGGTGCAAATTTGTAAATAACATACCTATAATGGAATTGGATGGATTATATTATTTATTCATTATCCGTTTATAGTAGTACATAGATCCTAAAAGTTAATTTATTTGAATCAATTTATTACAATCAAAATTGTTAATGTTTAATAATTGCTCAGTTAGTGAGTAAACAGGGAGTCATTGTTCGAAAGGTATCATTAAAGAAAATATTCTTTTTTTGCTGAAGTAAGACCTAAATTCTTGTCTGAATTAGCTAGTAAAGTTTCTCAGGTAACTCGAAATTCACGGTGTATATCATATCGCGGTGCCCATGCTTAGATATGGTCGCACTGGTAAAGTATGTATGCTAATGAGAAACTTAAGTCGAACTCTCCAACAGAATGTCGTCCGAAAATTGAGATTTCAATGAAGACAAACTTTTATACAAACCTTCTTAGCACAATAAAGCATACAACAAAAACAAGTTTGCTAAACTCCTTCGATATAGATTTTTGTTTACCAAAAGATGCATGGGTCTGTAGAAGCCTGACATTCCACCTAAGAAGACTACAAAGCAATAAAAACTCTTTGTTTTGACCGCCGCGAGAACTTCATTTATACGGATGGGGAAAATGCAGGCAATGTGCGAGAATATCTTCCTGTAATAGCATATCTGAAACCATACCACATTTGACAACCTTTTGAAATACTCATGAATATATACTTATATATACACAAAAAAAGATTATGTTCATAATCTTAAACAACAGCGAATGGTGGGTGCTAACGACTGAAGATGCAGCGGGGAGAATCGAGGTTTTCTCGGAATCACAAAAAAAACTTTAATATCTCTATTAATGTTTTTTAAAAGCCTTTCTCAAATGATGCTGTGTCGTAAATATGTCATTTGATTTGTTTTTGAGATTTAGACTTGTTCAGATATCAATTCAAGTTTAGCCGTGATCGATCATCCATCCAAATTTTGTAGTAGTTACGAACAATCTGTTAAATCGGACGAGCCGTTACAAAAATTATCAATCAACACTTGATTTTTGATACTTTGGGGTAGACGAGTTCTGAAGTGGAGATCGCGTCTAGGCAAACGTAGTGTAGGACGTCCTCAGGCACGATGGAGTGACGATTTGCGCAAGGTGGCTGGCAGGAGCTGGATGCGAGTAGCCTAAGACCGATCTGAGTGGCGTGCATTTGGAGAGGCCTATGTCCAGCAGTGGACTAAGATAGGCTGTTGATGATGATGACTTGATTTTTAAGGTTCCGTACCCAAACAGTAAGAATGGAACCCTATTGCTGTCACTCTGTCGTCCGTCTGTTTGTCCGTATGTCACGAGTCTCTAGATCGTAAATGGAATGAGTTCTAATATTTTAGTATTTTATGTAGAATGCTGTGACCAAAGCCGAATATTTAGTTAAAAATTCATTATCTTTTTTATTTTACCCTATTTCTTTTCCTTTTTACACCAGCATGTACATCATTGTCAAGTGCTCGTTGAGTAGGGTGTAAATATAATTTTTATTTATTAATTATTTTCATTTATGTGTAAAGAAATGGAGAGCCGTCATAGTTGTAATTTTTTAGACCATATTTGTAACAGGGCCTATCTCAAAATGGAACGTAGTTAATAATGTGAAATTTCAGTGTATAATGTCTCATATGCTGTTTTTAAACAACAAATAATGAACACGGCGATTCAAAATGTACTTTGTAAGTTGTGACGAAAACAAATGATTTTTCCTTTCGCGGTTTTTTGTACTGAACTCTTCGTGCGTAGACTCGCTTTGCCGGTTTATAGATTTGTATATGACTTAAATTTTTTATGTGCAGGAGTTATCCATACACGCGATGTCGACACAAGAGCTACTGAAGCCGAAGGACGAACCGTTGTATTCGCTGGCACCTTCCAACAACCACTGTTCAGTCAGCTTGCACCATCCAGGTTGGTTTATCTTATAGTGATGACAAGCTTCTTAACTATCTATCATACATTTCGGCTACAAATACTTTGGGCTTAAAAAAAGTTAAAAAGGTCATCTTCTAATAATAGATCGAAAAGCTTCCTCGTCTGGTAATAATGTCACACAGGACCCACGAACCTTTATAAGATGTGAGTTGGTAATTAGGAAAAAATGTAATCCGTCATCTATAAAGCTTGACACAAAATTGGTTTAAATAAAATTGCATACGTTTCTTTCATAAATTCTCGTTTCACTTGACAACTGTTTCACTTAACAACAGTATAAAAATCAGACATATGACGCCCATTAAATAAGATTTTGGGCAGACGAAATTTAACAAATGAAAATTGGGGTTCTTTTTCAAGAGAAAATGCATCTTATTAAATACATTTTCTTAGCCATTTTCTCTTTAGGTACATTTTCGGTTATGACTATTGGTCAATCGATAGGCTAACCGAGAGCTTAACGTCTTTAGATGATGTGTATGGATTTGTGTGCAAGTTAACACTTACGAAAAGCATCCGATTGCATATGTATAAAGAGAAGTGAAGGATATGTTAGAAAATTTCAAAGTACGATACTTGGGGTTGATAAAATTGTAGGAAATGAGAAAAGCGTAGGCTTTCTGAGAAAAGGATTAGGTGATAAGTTATTGGGTTATAATAAAAAGCAGGGAAGATAAAATTGGTCATAGTTTACTTATCCCGAAGGAAATCAGACCAGGGTAGCTAGACTTGGCTAAAGGCTAATTTTTCAATTCCTGTCTGGATAAAACTTATTCGTCTAGTATCGTATTACAAAGAAAAAATAAATAATTTGATATTCATATTATATTTTTATATTGCGGATAAAATTTATTGAAAAAAAATTGGTAAATGTTAATTTGGCACCTAAGTTTCAACGCAGAATTGAAAAAGAAACTTGGCATAATCTTGCAACCCATTTTTCTATAGACATCATTTGTACTTATTAATACTATTGTGACTAGGGATCTGGCCCGACCTTGCATGGGCGAACTAGAAAAAATATAGCGTATATTACCCAGGGAATCGTAGCGTTGTAATGATTAAAGATTTTTATAAATAGGTCAAGTAGTTTTTCAGTTTATCCGTTACAAACAAACACAAATACAACCTATGATGGATACCTTTATGATGTTAATATAGGTAAAATATGATGGTCTCTTTATCAGTACTAATTCAACTTTTAAGGTAAGTCATATAAACTCATATATTTATTGTTTTTTTAAGTTCTCATAAGAATAATGTTAGCTGCAAGTCACCGATACATAAAAAATGAAATAGCATAATTTTAAATAATTCGGACTGACTGTGTTTGTAACATGATTTACTACATATGAAAAAAGGTCCGAAAACGTAAACTGCTGAAATAAAATTTCAAATAAATCATAGTCGCATGCGAGTCGGGTTCGCGTGCGAAGGGTTCCGTAATACGTACCTCCGTATCCGTATCTTAGGTAAATATAATGATAGCGTTCGAAACAAGATACAATGTTAAGATCGAGCTACAACGCTGAAAATATCACTATCGTTTCCTTTTATTCTTTTCTGCATTAACTCTTACAGTGATCCACATTCTGTAATAATATCTAGTTATTGCGGATAATACTGATTACTAACAAACGGACGGACGGACACGGAGTTACGGTTCCGGCCCTTTGAGTACATAATTCTATAAATAAATAAAAATGTTGATGAATTTTGGTATATGGTGTAGCGCATAAGGAAACCTTGGAAATGGATGTAGGGTGCTTTATGTCGCGGAAAAGAACCTAATGAGGGTGAAAAATGATCATGAAAGTTTTATGGGAAAACAATTAAGTCATAGGCGAAGGTATTCTTTCCCCATATACTTAGTTTGACCATAAATACTGTTAAAACAAAAAAGAACATAATATTACATTTGAATTTTTGACATTCCTATATGAATATTCATTGAATTTAACTCATTTTTAAATAGGTGTTAGTTTGTGCTATTAATATGACGTGGGATGATAAAGGGAAACGAAATGCTGTGGTGTCATTAAACAGAGTATGTATGGACACAGATTACTATAGTTACTACGTAAGTATGGAGCCAAATGCAATTTTTGAAAGAATATTAGTCGAATGATTGAGCATTGAAAGGTACAATTAAACGTCCTCTGTTTGTGATAAAAATAATAAAAGCGTGTTAAAAAGATCAGGCTTTCAAAGTATTTTCGTACAAAAACAGCAATCAAGCAGCGAAGAAAAATAATTCGTAGAAATCCTGTCCGAAAGCAACCGATTTTATGTCGGGAAATTTTAAAAGATGACTCAGTCCCCGTAGCATGAGCCACAATTTACGCTATATCAAATTTTTTATCGCGCGTAACTGCCAAACTTCATAATTTGACATTTGAGCGTGATAAAACCGCGATATATAACATATATGCTAGGGGAGCTATAGAGACGCACTATTCATTATTTAAAAATGACTACAGTGGTAAAATCAAAACAACTTAAGCAGTACGCAAAGGCATGTCATAGATTTTTTCCTAATGAGTAATGTTTAACAAGTGAAATAACCGAGTTTATGCGAAGCTCTATGGAAGCTTCCCAAATAGTCAGCAGAGTACAACGTGGATTATCCTACTTCAGGGAAGTTAGCTATCAAAGAGCGACTGAGGTTTATCTTTGAAAAAAAAAATGTGTCAAAATGTCGGCTCACGTATATTAAGATACGAAGGTGGTTAAGTCTCCTAACAATACTGTGATTATATATGATATCCATAACCAAGAATGGTCCTTTCAACACGACACAGCACCGGGTCATAAAGCTCAATCCACCCAAGCGTGGTTGAAAGCGAATCTAAAGACTGGCCGTCATCTAATCCCGATCTTAGTTTGCTAGAATATGATTTATGGTCAGTTTTAGACAGTAGGGCGGGCAAACTTTAAACGCTTTGATAATTTGGAGACCCTGTAACAAACCATGAGATAGACAGTGAACATTTTTCTCATGGAAAGAGTCCGTGTTTCTATAGATAACAGGCCACAACCTTTTTTTCACTGAATTAAAGCTAATGGAGATCATTTTAAATGTGCTTCATATATTTTTATTGTTATTATATTAATTTTTAAACTAACATGCTTAAGAATAATAAATAACTTATGCAATTGAAAAAAAAATCCTTGTAACAATATTTATGATTAGGTAGTTCTATTGATTAACAAAGTTTCTGGTACTACTCGTATTTTAATTCTGTTTCAAAACAGGTCATAAGTTGTTACTGGAAATAACTGCAACCCTATGAAAAACTTATGGATTCATATTTGTACTAGCATATTTTGTATCTCTTGATCGTACAATGTTCTGCCGTAAACATATGACCAAAAAAGAACTTGAGTTTCATGCATGTTCATGCAGAAACAACATTAACATACTTCTGAATCAGATATTCGATACGTTAACCTCCAATTGATTTTGTCACTTAAATTTTACGTTGAGAGTTTAATCGAACAAAAGACAAAACCCTTTTGGCACTGGTCTAATTAATTTCGAGGTTCTGGTCTGAGAGATTACATTAGAATTAATAGTACATAATTGCAAAGGCCGTGAGGCAGGCATTGCCTGCAATATTGTTTTTCTCAAAAGATTGCAGGGAAATAAAACACACTTTTAATATTTTACATTTAATTTAATTAATATTAAAAGTTACATTAGTCATATTGGAGCAATTCCTCAAAGAAAATGTTGAATCCCCGGTACATTTATGCTTGTTTGTTGAACTTCTGATGAGGTTTGCCGGGGGGCTATGGATTCAGTGGTAGATAGATGGCTGAATGTTGTTGTGACTTAGATGTTGGTAAGTGGCCAGTGGGTGAGATTCCGTTTCCGAATTAGGTTGCAATATGATGTTTTGATTTATTTTATTATTTATATCAGTTTTGTTTTCAATTGAGTCCTCAATACAACCACTTTTTCGGACTTCCAGCCTCCATGTCTTTTTCAGAGTCGTCAAATTCGCTCCAGAATCAGCCTGAAGAGTGGCTGAAGACCTACGGAAACAATGTCTAGTATAAGAATTTGACAAGTTAAAATAATTCTTTAGATATTTTAGCTATTTTGTGTCTTTCAATGACCTGCTTCGTGCACTTCCTTTTTTGCAAGTTAAGAAAAAAGCTAGCTGATGTTGTGTTCGCTAGATGAAGATTATAATATTTTTTACATATGTTAGGAACTCTCCTCGAATTACAAATATTCGATCAATCTTTATTTTAGTGTCAGGCAATGATATTATTATTACTTTGTCATCTGGAAATTCTATGTCTTCTGTGGTTATATTCTTGAGTTCTATACTCAGACATGCTCCTAATATCATAGCAACCTCTAACAAACAAAACTCAATATAAAGCTACAGCCACGCACGAACAGTATATTTCATAAGACTCATAAATCCTTTGTATCAAAATTTACCCAAATCTATCCAGCCATTTTGGCTTAACTGTGTCTCAAATAAATAATGAATAATTATATTTGTGTCGCTAAATATATATCATCTGAACTTCGGAACTTCTGACTACTACTTTGATGACCGTTCCCACTTCTAGACTATAACGACGGACGGACTGGCTTGACTTTGAGTTTTGCTTTGTAATACTGGAGGTGGGTGGGTATGTTACAGATTCATTGTATGTCGGTCGCTAAGTCATAGCTGGAAACTGAAAACACAAAGACGCCAAGACTGTATTGCCTTTTACTTTTTTTAAAATATAAAATATGGTTTGTTAACCTAAATTATTATTCTAAAAGATTCTATTATCAGAAATAAAATATGACCTTTAAAAAAGAAGGATTATGGTAAAAATATATTTATCATATCAATAACTAAATGACTTCAGACTTTGCATACCTACTTGTACTATTATGTACGAGTATTCTATTAGATATGACAGAGGATATTGTTCCTTCCGCTTTCACATAGCAGCAAATCATC